ATAAAGGAGGGTTTTATTCTCGGGCTCCGGTCTCACGCCAAACCCTGTCACACCGTCTAGACGAGCTGTCGTGGGGCTCAGCCCAGCTGTCACCATGGCGATGGAGACGAGTCCGCTGTGAATTTTGGGGGGAGAGCGAGAGCGAGCGAGAGCGGCGGCGGAGGAGAAGGAGGAGGAGGAGGAGGAGGAGGAGGCGCGGGAGGAGGAGGAAGGCTCGGCCGCCGCCGTGCCCTGCCCTGCCCGCCGCCGCCGCCCGCGAGGGAGGCACGGACCCCCGGCGCTCCGGGCCGCGGCTGGAGCCGGCCCAGCGGGGAGCCCCGGGGAGCCAGCGGCCGCCGAGCGCCTCAGATGCGTCTGTCACACAACGCCGGCCGAGCTATTTAAAGTAACGGGCCTCGCCGGACTTTGTCTCTGCCTATTTATGAGTCCCCGGGAGCTGGCCGGCGCCGCCGGGCAGCGCTAGGAGCCGCGCCGCAGCGCCAGCCCCGCGGGGACGCCAGCGCCGAGCCGGGGGCCGGGCCCGCCCGGAGCATGACGGCCATCGGGGCGCTCCTGCTCTGCTCCTGCCTGGGGCTGCTGCGGCCGGGCGCCGGGCAGCCCTTCCTGCGGCTGCGGCCCTCGCCCAGCGACAACCTGCCGGTGAAGGACATCGTGGAGCACCCGGACCCCGAGTACGACCCGAAGGAGCAGGACCTGGACGAGCGGACTCTGCGCAAGAAGCTGGGCAGCCATTTCGACCCCGGCTTCATGGCCGTGGCCGTGCCGGGCCCCGCCAACGCTTCCGCGGGCGCCGAGGCGGCGGCGGGGCGGGCGCGGGCGGCGGAGCTGCGGCGCTTGGAGCGGGGCGGGCCGCGACTGCGGGTGGGCAAGAAGGCGAGGCGGAAGGTGCTGCAGTGGCTCTGGGCGTACACCTACTGCCCCGTGCTCTACACCTGGAAGGACCTGGGCGTCCGCTTCTGGCCGCGCTACATCAAGGAGGGCAACTGCTTCGCCGAGAAGTCCTGCTCGCTGCCCGAGGGCATGTTCTGCAAGCCCGTCAAGTCGGTCACCAAGACGTTCCTGCGCTGGCACTGCCAGGGCTGGTCCAGCCAGAAGTACTGCACCTGGATCCCCGTGCAGTACCCGCTCATCTCCGAGTGCAAGTGCTCCTGCTAGCACGGCCCCGCGCCGCCCCGGCCCTCGCGCTGCTCTCTTTGCTCGTCTGCATCTTCCGAGGGGGGGTTCGTCCGCCCTCCCCCTCGGGGCGAGCGCGGGGCGTGATGGGGGGGTCGGGGGGAGGAACCGGGTCTGACTTATTTTAATGTTATTTTATTTGAAAGGGGGAGAAGCGAACCCAGGAACTGCAGGGCAGGCCAAAGGCACAGTAAAGCACTACAATCAGATGTCTATTTTTATACGTATATAGCCTTCTAACGAAAGGAAAATAATAATAATAAAGAAAAAAAAAACCCTAAAAAAAAAATCCCAGCCGTGTAAATAGAGAGATTTTAAAGGAAAGGGGGAAATCGCAGCTGTTTTTTTTTTTTTTTTAATTATTATAATTATAATTATAATTATTGTTATTATTATTATTTTAAAAACGTAGGACCACATTTTAAACCTTTCCCCACCGAACCCGAGCGCTCCCCCCGCAGAGGGCGGGGGGGGGAGGGGGCACAGATTTCTTTCTTGTCAAGATGGTTTTAACAACGGGAAAGGAAACCCCGGGGAAGAGCAGCAGCATCCCTGAAGGTGGCCGTTCCTCTGTGCTGTATTTTCCTTTTTTTTTTTTGTCTTCTTCAGACGTTGTCATTGGTGTTCCGGCTCTCGGAGGGGGAGGGGGGTGGGGGGCGTTAAGTGTATAACAATGACTTAAGGAGGAAGTTTTAAAGAGAAGTACAAATCTATGGAAGAGTGGAATCGTTTTGTTGTGTGGGAATACGTATAGTCACGTAGAGATGCTAAAGGAAATCTTCTGTGTACAGTTTATTTATTTTTAACGTTTGTGTATAGGAAAAAAAAAAAAAAAAAAAAAAAAAAAAAGAGCTAGAGATTATGCCAGAAACTATTGGAAATGTTTACTTGAATATTCCTTTAAAAAAAAACAGAACAAAACAAAACACATATCAATGTAAATAGGAGCTATCAGTGATGGAAACGTTTTTAGCAATAAACTCTATCTTTGAAGAACGGCGCCCGGAGCCCCGCGGGGTCACACAGGGAGCGGGGGCTGAGCAGAGCCCACGGAGCTGCATGGGGAGCTGTGGGAACCCGCTGCAGGAGGAGAGCTGCGCTCACAGAGGGGCAGGAATGCAGTGCGTGGGGCAGGAGGCGCCGTCCGAAGTCATCGGGAGGTTCCCGCTTCGCTTCGCCATCCCGGGCTCCTTCATGCACTGTGCTTGGTGGATCCGGCTCTGGTTGAGGATCCTGGCCCATCTCATCCAGCTGCACGGCCCCGAGCCTCGCGACAGACCCGGCTGCAGCAGGGAAGGATGGATGGCAGCCCCGTGCCTGCCGCGGAGCAGCCGTCAGGCCCACATCTCCCCATCGGCGCCGGGCTCTGAAGCAGCACCCGCTCCAGCTGGGCGCTGGCACCGCTCTGCCCGAGCTGCTGGAGGCCAGCAGGGAGGAGCCCGGGCACTGCGGCCATGGGGGGGCCCTGATGCACGGCCAGCTGTCTCCTTGCGTGCTCCGTGGGGGCTGCTGGTGGCCAGGGGAAGGTCTGTGCCGTTCTTTACGTGTGTGCGATCTGCCTGGCGTCCTTGAGGAACAAACCACCGCCGAGCACCCTGTGCGTGAAGCCCGTGGGGAGGCAGCGGGATGCTGGCTGGGGTCCCTCCAAGGGGACTGGGGTCTGGTGAGCCCACCCGGAGCTGGCAAGACCTGAGAGGTCACGCTCAGAAGGTGAGAGGTCAGAATGGGGAGAGGGAGAGGGCTCTTCTGATGGGCAGAGGCGAGAGGCGCACGGCTGCCCTGCAGCTGACGTCCCGCCCCATGGAGCGCGTGGCCATCCATCCCTATGGAACGTCTGCAGCGTGTGGCCGTCCCCATGGAGCAGGCCAACCTTCCCACGGGGCTGCCAGCAAGGCAGCGGGGACGAGGGGACGTGGAGGGCAGAGTGGAAAGGAGACCTCGCGACGGCAATGTGCAAAACATCAGGGGCATTTGGGAGAGGAAGGGGAAAGCTCATTTTGCAAGAGGAACAACATCTGTGGTGTGGGGGCCGAACATCTGTAGGAGGGAGCATGGGGGGAGGGCATTCTGGGAAAATATTTCTGACATAATCCCAACAGTATCTGGTGTGTTGAGATTTGGTTACAAATGGCCCTCTAACGTCTTTGTGCGTTTTGTTCTGCTGGTTCCAGGGGCACACAGAGACCCCGGCTTTGTGCTAACCTGGGAAATAAACCATTCGCTGGACTCAATGGCTGAGTTCAGTTGTGTGGGGAAGGGGGGCGGGAGCGGGGAAGGAGAGATTTGTGTGAACGCCGGAGAAAACCAGCCTGAAAGCCTCTGTGCCATGTGCTGTGGGAGGAGGGGGCTGCCCGCGTCTCAGGGGAGCGCCTGCTGGTCCCGCTCGAAGCGATGCGACGGCGGAGGGCAGAAGGGAGTGCGCCGGGCACCGAAGTGCCCCGTGGCTCCTGCGGGGCACGGGCAGGGGCTGGGGGGGCGGACGGCAGGGGATGCGCTGTCCTTTGCTGCCCGGAGACGCGATGAGTCGGACGTGCGACAGCCGGGCTGCGGGCACGATGGCTCACCCGTCCTCAAAGGAGAGAAAGACAAAGGGGAACGAGCCCGGCTCTTTGGTGCGGTCGCTTCATTGTCTCATCAAGCTGCTTGTGATTAAGGGACGGGCTGGAGGGGAGAGGGGGCACGACAGGCCTCCGTGAGACCGGCGGCGCGGTGGGTGCTGGCTCTGCACACGTGGTTTTTCCAGTCCCCCTGCCCCCAACTATGGGGTGGTGACCCGGAGGGAGAGGAGCCCGGAGCTGCAGGGGTGGGGGCATCCTGTAGGCTGGGTCACGCTTGTCATCGTGTTGGCAAGAGGTGGCTGTGGCCACACACGTGCAGGCATGCACACACAGGGTGTCCGGATGGCACCTCCGGCTGCACAGTGCCTCAGGGGTTGATGCTGCCCTCACCCTGCGGAGCTTTGCAGTCCATGCCCTTCCCTCCTCCAGGCAGAATTCCCACCTCTGGAATGGCCAAGCCTGCACTGCTCCCCATCTCTGTGCTCACCGTCACGGACTGTGATTTCAAAGTGAGTTTCCAGTGCCGGTGACCACAGCGCAGCGTTTGGGAGACTCAGAGGCTGAACCCCATCCTCCTTTGGGCAAGGCAGGGCAGCACACATGGTGGAGGACCCTGCAGCTGCCCTTTGTCACAGCAGGGAATCAAAGGTGCCTTTTCCCTGCACAGCCGGCACTGGCACCACAGTGCTCATCTGCTCCGACCCCGTGTGCTGTGTTACGCAGTTCCTGTGGTTCCATCACTCTGGATGTTTCCTCTTTGCAGTTCCTATCAGAGCCAGCTTGGAGCATTGGGCCCTTTGGGTCTGCTGAGGCTGCTATCACTGCTTTGTAGTGACAGAGTCACCCGGATGCTGGCCTTTTTGCTGCTTGAAGCCCCGGTCTAGATGATCCCAGCTGCAGGCACTGGTTTGCCAGGTGGAGAGACAGTACAAGCTCAGGATGTCTTCTGACGTTTGAGTCAGTGGCCCAGAGGACTTTTCTCTGCTTTTCATATCCTATCTGGCTTTGGCACCAGAGCGGGTTAACTCTTTTCTCTCCATTTCCCAAGGCTCTCCTCGCTTACCTGTGCCAGCTCACCCCATTTAGCTCAGCTCTGGGCAGACCTTGCCCTGCCTATGGCTGTTCTCTAGAAACACCACCTCTGCTGGCACTCCGGCTCTGCCCGGCTGGCCTTAATTCAGAGGGCCAGGGCTTGCATCTAATGCCAGAGCCTGAGACACCCGGCTCAGTCTAGGTGATGACCTAAGCCTATCATTCATCATCCCTAGAAGAGCAGGCAAGCAATCTGCAGGCAATAATTGGCCTCCCTTGAACTTTCAAGCTGAGGCTAAACAGGGACTTTTCTCAATTCCCACAGCAGCAGGCAGCAACCAGCACTGATATATCCACACTCCCACACTGATATATCCCACTCCATGGGAGCAGCAGCTCTCGTCCCACCATCTCCCCTGGGCTGTCAGGTTTGAGGTTATGGGTTCCTGCTCAAGACCCATCGCAGGCTGTGCTCCTCCTCTCTGCTCTGCAGTGCACCATCACTCCCTGAGTCTCCACGTGCAGCAAACCCAACCACGTGCCCTGTTGCTCCTAGGCAGAGCTGTGCACGGACCCCTCCACCAGCAAAGGAACTCTCTAGGGCTTCACCCTCAGCCATGACAAAGGCACCAGTTCCTCTGAAAACGTGCCCACGAGCCTCCCTTCCCTTTGATGACTGAAAGCAAACGCTAACAGCAGTGCCACCCAGGAGGCATGGCTGCTCCTCACTATTAGCTGCTTGCTATTCTGCTTAAAAATGTCAGATGTGCCGTCAAGGAGAAGGGAGCCCATCACGTGGCACCCAGGAGCCCAATCCGAGAGGCAGAGCGAGGAAGAGCAAATCACAGCTGGTGGGGAGGACGCGCTCGCAGGCAGACCATTGGCTAAAATGGCTCTTTCAGGCAGATGGTGAATGAATCCATTCACAAAAAGCAGGTCCAGTTTGCAAACAGCAAACCAGTCTACATATTTATTTTCATGCGCTGGATGAGCCTGCCAGGGAGACATCGAAGTCCTGAAGCAGCTGTGTGGGACGTGGCTGGTGCAGCAGAGCCCAAGCTGTGCATAGATACAGGGATTTGGGGAAGGAGGATTCTGGATCCCTCCATCTGCAGGCCCTGCATTCCTCCCACTGCAGTCTGTGCCCTGCTCCAAGCTACCTGCAGTGAGGTGCAGGTCTTTGAGAGCCGAGGAGCACTGTGGGCGCAGGGACAACCAGGCAGATGTGGCAGATCTGTTCCCCAGTGTCATCTGGGTGTCCTGAGCAGGTTGGGTAGCACACAGTGAGAGAAACATTGCAATGAGTGATGGGATCTGTTCCCCAGTGTCATCTGGGTGTCCTGAGCAGGTTGGGTAGCACACAGTGAGAGAAACATCGCAATGAGTGATGGG